TAAACCCTAAACCCTAAGCCCTAAGCCCGAAGCCCTAAGCCCTAAGCCCTAAGCCCTAAGCCCTAAGCCCTAAGCCCTAAGCCCTAAGCCCTAAGCCCTAAGCCCTAAGCCCTAAGCCCTAAGCCCTAAGCCCTACGCCCTAAGCCCTAAGCCCTAAGCCCTAAGCCCTAAGCCCTAAGCCCTAAGCCCTAAGCCCTAAGCCCTAAGCCCTAAGCCCTAAGCCCTAAGCCCTAAGCCCTGAACCCAAACCAATGACAAGTCTGACGTCTCGATTCCTAGCTTGTCGACCGGTTCGAACCCTAAACCCTAAACCCTAAACCCTAAACCCTAAACCCTAAACCCTAAACCCTACACCCTAAACCCTAAACCCTAAACCCTAAACCCTAAACCCTAAACCCTAAACCCTAAACCTCCAATCCTCAGTCCCTTGTTGGTTTTTGTGGGGTTTCAGCTTAGGGGTTGGGGCTTAGAGGGCCCGAGCCCCTCAGCCCTAAACCCAAAACCCAAAACCCCAAACCCTAAACCCAAAACCCTATAAACCCTAAACCCTCAACCCTAAACCCTAAACCCTAAACCGAAGCCCTAAACCCTAAACCCTAAACCCTAAACCCAAAACCCAAAACCCTAAACCCGAAACCCTCAAACCTCAACCCTTAAGCAGGCGGCTACTGCGGCCTCGTCTGTGGCCTTCCGCACTGCGCGGAGCACGTGGTGGCGGTGGGGGTCTTAAGGGGTGAGAGGAGGGACCCCTAGAAGGGACCCTTCATCTTCAGTCTTATTCACCTAAATATCGCCTATATATATATATGTAGACAGATATATATATATATGTATGTATGTATGTATGTATGTATGTATGTATGTATGTATGTATGTATGTATGTATGTATGTATGTATGTATGTATGTATGTATGTATGTATGTATGTATGTATGTATGTATGTATGTATGTATGTATGTATGTATGTATTGTTTTCTCCTACGTAGCCCCTAAGTAACCCCCAACTAACCCCTAAGGTCTCTTGTAAGGTTCCTGCTTTAGTCTTTGGGAGGGTCCCTGTTCATGGGTCGTAATATGTAGGGTTCCAGGCACCCCCACCACCCCCCCGCGCCCTCAGGGATTTATGAGCATCCCAGCTTATGACCCGAAGGGTTTGGGGTTCAGGATTTAGGGCCTTCCGGGTTTCATAGGGTCCCGGGCTGGGTTGGCAGACCCGAGACCCCTCAACGCTCCACAGCCCAAGCTTGGCAGCCCGGTGGTAATATAGGGGTATTACCAACAGTATCCCCTTATGGTCCCTATATCATTCTGCCATGATAACCCCCAAAGCCCTTTGTTCTCAGTATTAAGGCCCCCATATTACCTCGTTTTTTTGCCCTTTTTGTCGTTCCAGGTTCCCGTAAAAAGAAGCAAACCCTTAAAACGGGCACCCTTGTTATGATGATGGTTTCTGGGCCACCAAGTAAAGCCTACAAAACCTGATCCCTAAGACCTCCTCCCCCCTGACCTGGTTCACTCAGCCGTTTTTTGGTCTGGCCCTAAACCCTAAACTGGCCCTGAACCCCAAACCCCCAACCCTAAGCCCTAAACCCTGAACCCCAAACCCGAAACCCTAAACCCTAGCCCCTAAACCCTAAACCCTAAACCCTAAACCCTTTTTTTGGTATGGTCAGGCCAGGAGCGCGCAGAACTGCAGCGACACCACGGCAAGGCTGGCGAGTCCACAACCTCGTGGGTCGGTTTGCTTAGGGTTTAGGGAGTCAAGTCTAGGGTTCAGGGTTTAGGGTTTAGGGTTTCGTGTTTAGGGTTTAGGGTTTCGGGTTTAGGGTTTAGGGTTTCGGGTTTAGGGTTTAGGGTTTCGGGTTTAGGGTTTAGGGTTTTCGACACCATCGGCACAGTCATATGTGTAGCCCTACTTGTTCACACGACTGCCAGGTAGGCATCCATAAACCTTTCGATTGGGAGAACCGAAATCCTTCACCTGGTTAGAGGTTGCCTTCGAACTGTTCCCTTGTAAAGGTGGGAAGCCCTAAGCCCTAAGCCCTAAGCCCTAAGCCCTAAGCCCTAAGCCCTAAGCCCTAAGCCCTAAGCCCTAAGCCCTAAGCCCTAAGCCCTAAGCCCTAAGCCCTAAGCCCTAAGCCCTAAACCCTAAACCCCAAACCCTAAACCCTATAGTTGGGCTCAGGTCAGTTTTGGGGTCTGTGGTGGCCTCCAATCCCGTGGGGTTAGGTGGCAACACGCGGTTGCAAACACCGTGGTCTAAGGGGGTTTAGGGTTTAGGGTTTAGGGTTTAGGGTTTAGGGTTTAGGGGAACTCAGGAGGGCCTGTTAGAAGGGACCCTTCATCTTATTCCCCTATACAAACCCTATGCATACCTTACATAGTCCCGACATCCCTCACTCGCCCCTGAAAAGCCACTAAAATACCGACCAAGGTCCCTTCAAAGCGTCCCTCCTTTCAAGCTGTCATGCCCCCCTCTTCCTTGTCTGGGCCCTAGTGAGCCACCCAACAGTTCTGCTGAAACGATGCGAGAAGCTCTCTGGTTCAGCAACTCCTAGTTCAGGGTTTAGGGTTTAGGGTTTAGGGTTCAGGGTTTAGGGTTGAGGGTTCAGGGTTCATGCTTCACATTCGACATGTTGTCAGGGAAATTTTCGGGTTTTGATGACCGTGGCGAGCTGCATGCTCTGGGACCCCGTAGGCGCAGAGCCCTTTCAAGTCAGTGTTTCAGGTTTAGGGTTTAGGGTTTAGGGTTTAGGGTTTAGGGGCTTTGGGGTTTAGGGTTCAGGTTTAGGGTTTAGGCTTTGGGGTGATATTCGGCTGATATTCAAGACTTCGCTGCTGTGGGTTGAGGTCGTAGGCACCTTCTTGTTGTCTTGATGTTGCGGATGAATGGCGACGAGATGTTCAGACGACCTCTACCAGGGAGATGTCTTTCAGCCGAGCCTTCCACTGTAACCGCCCAGCTTGCCATGGGGCCGCGACCTTCTCAACAGGTCATCCTTCCCTTCCCTCCGAGTTGTGCGTAGATCCCTGAACCCAACGCGGGCGGTGGAAGGTTTGTTCGACGCTTAGGTGTCCATAGCCCCTGATCTTCGGAACTTCCGAAGGAGGACCGCGTAGCACGTCCCACAATAGCCTCCGGCGCTTTTCCAGAGTTCTATAAGTCTTTGTGTGTTCAACGCAATTTGCAGGGCAATTTTTCAGCTTCGGAAGCAAAATTAGGTACGGTTCTAGGCTTCTAGGGGTTTATTTTGCTAAGCCTAAAGAGCAAAACGGCTTGCACTAGGAGGGAAGAATTCTTGAGCGGACCCACAGAAGCTTCTGCTCGGAATACTCAATGCCGAGCCGAAGCCTAAAATCCCAAGCCCACGTGCATACACCCCCCAAGCAAAGGCCAAATGTGCAAGCCCTAACGCGCCTTGAAGCCTTGACGCGCAGGTGTTTCTGTTGAATCGGCACCTCCCCTGCTGGATAAACCCTGAGCCCTCAACCCCGAAACCCTAAACCCAAGCCTAGCTCGTCACAGCTTAGGGGTGCGCCACGGTCTGAAGGGAACTTCCCCTTAGAGCCCCTGCGTGCAAACCCTAAGCCCTAAACACTAAACCCTAAACCCTAAACCCTAAACCCTAAACCCTAAGCCCTTAGCCCCAAGCCCTAAGCCCTAAGCCCTAAGCCCTAAGACCTAAACCCTAAACCCTAAACCCTAAACCCTAAACCCTAAACCCTAAACCCTAAACCCTAAACCCTAAACCCTAAACCCTAAACCCTAAACCCCTTGGCGGCTCCACCAAACCAAGGTGGAACCTTAAGCCTCCAAACTCCGCCTAAACCCTAAACCCTACACCCTAAACCCTGAACCCTGAACCCTGAACCCTGAACCCTGAACCCTGAACCCTAAACCCTAAACCCTAAACCCTAAACCCTAAACCCGAAACCCTAAACCCTGAACCCTGAACCCTGAACCCTGAACCCTAAACCCTAAACTCTAAACCCTACACGCTAAACCCTAAACGCTAAACCCGAAACCCTAAGCCCTAAACCCTAAACCCTAAACCCTAAACCCTAAACCCTGAACCCTAAACGCTAAACCCTAAACCTTAAACCCTAAACTCTAAACCCTAAACCACCCTTGCCCAGCCTCCACTGCGGCCGCTGTGACCCGGGCTGGGACTTCGAGCTTCGGTGCCCGGAGAAGGGTTTAGGGTTTAGGGTTTAGGGTTTCGGGTTTAGGGTTTAGGGTTTAGGGTTTAGGGTTTAGGGCTTTGGGTTTGGGGTTTGGGGTTGAGGGTTTGGTGTTCCTGAAGCCGCGTTCTTAAGGTTGAGGGGGTTGGTAGGGGTCAGAGGGTTGAGAATATTTGCGTTCTTAAGGTTTAGGGTTTAGGGTTTAGGGTTTCGGGTTTAGGGTTTAGGGTTTACGGTTCTTTGTGTCTAGGTTTTTGGGTTTTTTGAGGTTAGGGTTTAGGGGTTGGGTTTTGGAGGTTTGGGAAACTGTGGCCTTTAGTGTCAGGTGTGATAGAACCAGGGCCATAGGTTTCCCAAGGTCACGACGGTTCTGAGTTTGGTTTGCTGGGGATGGCAAACCGGTAGCTTTAGGAGTTGGAAAGAAGAATCTAATCCTTGCTGGCGTCAGGGCTTCAAAGCTGTAATCCATTGTCTTTCGGTCTTCGTGATGTGCAGACGGCGTTTCGCGCTCCAACTTGGTTTGGTTTGAGAACCCGCCCTCGTAGTTCTCACCAGGCCAGGCCGAATGATCTGCAACTTGCTATTTTCCGCTTCGTTGAAGACGATCACTTTGCATTCCATTGACCTGTATCTGGTCTACAGCTTCCATGAAGCGCAATATAATAAGGCTCTGTTCAATCATCATGGGCATTTGGGGGTCGGTTGTGGTGCAACTATAGAGGGGCTATGAGAGGATAGTGTTGGTAGTGACTTAGGCTCCTTTATGGGCCATTTCGACATCCAGGATAACAGTTGCTGTCTGCCTCTTTTGCTCGCCATGGCGCCGGACGCGAAGCGCGTGAAGGCCGGAGGCAGCGTGACGCTGGAGACGCTCCAGGCAAGATTGCAGGCAGGAGGGTTGAGGGTAGGGTTTAGGGTCCAGGGTTAGGAGTTTAGGAGGATTAGGGTATAGAAGGTTTAGGCTTTAGGGCATAGTTAGGGATTAGGTTTCGCATCTGAAAGGTTAGAGTTTTCTGGCTTCCGGCACATTTGGGGATGCACCCGTCTTTTTCCAATTCCACGGGAACTTCTTGAGCAGCGTCGAATCTGCCACCGGCATCAGAGGACCTCTGTTTTCACGAATGTTTAGCTGGGTTGGCATGATATTCCAGTGATCTTCTGCGCAGCAGAATGGTTTACAGGATATCGTTGCAAGGCCTTATTTCACGTCACTTACATCCTTCGGAAAGGATGGCGTCCCAGCGCTTTGTCCGCAGTATGCCAGCGCATACTCCTGGAGCCTTAGAAACCTTGCCGCTTGAACCCCAACCCTTCAACCTCGACCTCACCCTCAAAGCCCTAGAGCCTCTACACCTACACCCTCGACCCTCAACTTCAACTATTCCCTAAACCCAACATCAACCCGACATCTCGCACTGGGCGAAAGGCCACTGACGTGCTTGCCAAAAAACCGGAAAGCCAGGACCTCAGTCTTGCTATAGCTTGTCTCCTTACAAGCCATTGGGCAAGAACAGATATTTCTTGTTTGCTTTGTATGATGGTTCTAAGCATTGGGGCTTGGGGCGATCAGGGGTTTTTTGGGTTTGGTTGCTGCTGCCGGGCTCGGATTAGGCCCGTTTAGTCTTTCGGGCTGTTGAAGTTGCAGTATTCCAGTTCAGAGATACGTAGGACCCCAGCTCTCTCTCTCTCTCTCTCCCTCCTTCTTTCTCCCTCTCCAGTACCAGGTAAAGTTATGATGGTATATGTCGGGTTAGGCTTCAAGGTTTGGGGTAGTTAAGCATGAACTGTTTCTCGTTTTCTGGCTCAGAGCGCTCTATCTTGCCTAGGCTGTATGGCTTAGGAGTTTAGGGTACCCAAGACCCAAATTTTCCGCTCAATGCCCCACCCCCCCCCCCAGCACAAAGGCTTCCCAAACCCACAGCTGCGCCCTCCGCGTCTAGAGTTGTAAGAGTCGCATCCGATGGCTATCGTGGGTTGGGGCTTGCAGGCGGGCGAAATCCCCCAAGACACTTCATATGGGAGTCTACGCAAATAGGAGGCCCCAAATATAGACCCGCGAAAATCGCAGGATTCCCTTCTAACAAGGAACCCAATACGGGGTCCCTAAATTTCCCTAAACCCTAAACCCTAAACCCTCAACCGATTCTCTTGAGCCAGGTCTCAGCACTTTCATCTGCACCCACCACGGAACTTTCCACGCTGATGAGGCGGGATCCAAGATGTCGCTACCTCCTTGGCATGGCCCTTGTTAGGAGCTTCGGGGTTCTTTGGGGTTTAGGGTTTAGGGTTTATTTACGTCATACGTAGGGGCTATATAGGGGAATAAGATTAAGGGTCCCTTCTAGGCGTCCCTCCTTCTAGGGACGGTACAGCCGCGACGCTGGAACCCTAAACCCTACCTTGCCTGGGCTTCGGCGGCGGGGAGGAGCCCTAAACCCTTAACCCTAAACCCTAACCCTAAACCCGAAACCCTTCTACCCTAAACCTTATAACCCTAAACCCTATAACCCTAAACCAAAAAGACGTGCGCACAGAGTTGAGGGCTCGAGGTTCAAGCGGGCTGGCGGAACCGGTCGCTAGACTCAAAGCTTCGACTCTGCAAGTGTCCGCAAGCCACAACGCCAATGGTGCATGTGATTCTCCCTGTGCTTCTTTTGTTGTAGAGGTAATGTCTTCCAGGATCGGGTCGCTTTTGCGACATGACGGCTTCGGGTTTAGGGTTTAGGGTTTTAGTTGCGCGCCCATGAAGCTTCCACACCTAATGGGGAGGAACCCTGAACCCTAAGCCCTAAACCCCAAACCCGCAGGTAATGGCTTGCGCCATGCTGAAGTGATGCTCGGCTGCGAGATGCTGGTTGCGAGCATCGTCGGTTTAGGGTTTAGGGCTTAGGGTTCAGGGTTTAGGGTTTAGGGTTCAGGGTTTAGGGTTTCCAGGGCTTAGTGTCGTTTAGGGGGTTTAGGGTTTAGCGGCTAGAGGGTTTAATCGAGGGTGGAGGCTTCAGAATTGTAAGGGCTACGCCAAGAATCTGTAAAGCCGAAGCCCCACACCCTAAAGCCCCTAAGCCCTAGCTCTCTATTTCCTTCAGCCCACGATCCCAAGCCTGAGCACTGTTTTGGGGTTTCGGGTTCGGGTTTTGGGTTTAGGATCTAGGGTTTAGGTTTGAGGGTTCAGGGCTTAGGGACCGTTCGGACCGTTCAAGCCAATTTCCCACAGGCCGATAGGAGTGGCGTGCGTTTCTACGTCAGGGCCGCACATGGTATCCGCCCTACCTGTCACTGGTAGAAGACAAGCCCCAAACGCCAAACCCTGAACCCTAAACCCGAAACCCTAAGCCCAAAACCCTAAACCCAAAACCCTAACCCTTAACCCTGAACCCCACTTATATCCATGAGCCTCTTAAGTAAGCCACAGGCCTCGAGGACTACAGTGCTTTGCCGGTCCTCCGCTCCCGAGACGCCGAGGAGATCGACCAGGCGGGTAGGGGCTTTGGGGCTTAGGGTTTAGGGTTTAGGGTTTAGGGCTTAGGGTTTAGGGTTTAGGGTTTAGAGTTTAGGGTTGAACAGAGAGTGAAATTCGATAATGTACGCGTACCCACGTAGTAAGAAGAATACTCGTAAGAATAGGAAGAGTAGCAATAACACCCATCATCAGGTTGCGGTTGGCACTCAATGAGCGTTCCGTGCATTCATTCGATCTTCATATTTTTTGACTTTTGCTTAATGAAGATAGTCGTGTGAGCCAGTCAGCAAACACCCACACGAAAGAAGTAAACTCTTATAAGCTCAAAGTTGGTACAGGAACTGTATTTTAATGTTGTACATGGGCACGAAGGTCATCCAGATGCGAGGGTTCTTGGGGTTTAGGGGTGCAGGGGGTGGCTCAGAGGCGGCTTCAAAGGGTGGAGGGGACTTAACCGCAAAACCCTACAACCTTCCTAGGAACTTCCTATAAACCCCTGTGAACCTTATCAACCCTGTAACAATCTCTGAACCCTCTAAACCCCATAAACCCAGTAACCTAAGAACCCTACAAACCTTAGACACCTTCTGAACCCTCTCAAGACCTAAACCCTCTAGACCCCGTAAATATTCTCAACCCTCTGACCCCTACCAACCCCCTCAACCTTAAGAACGCGGCTTCAGGAACACCAAACCCTCAACCCCAAACCCCAAACCCAAAACCCAAAACCCTAAACCCTAAACCCTAAACCCTGAACCCTGAACCCTAAACCCTTAAACCCCTAAACTCTAAACACGCACCGGAGGCCACGATCGTCGTGGATGTCGGGGGCACCTATGAGCCGGACCCTGCGCCATGCACAGTTCCCAAACCCTAAACCCTAAACCCTAAACCCTGAACCCTGAACCCTAAACCCTGAACCCTGAACCCTGAACCCTAAACCCTAAACCCTAAACCCCAAACCTGCCGGGGGTGCAGGGAGGGAAAAAGGGAAGTTTTCACCTCCCAAACCTGTCCAGCTCGCGGCCAGGGTCGGCAGACCCAGCCAAAACCCTAAAGCCTCAACCACTAGACCCCAAACCCCTAGACCTAAGTGAGAAGGGCTTGGGGTACGGGCTGTTGTTACCTGAGGTCCACGCATCCCCTAAACCCTCAAACCTCATTAACCGCCACCCTACAAGCGAAGGCTTGGAATGTGAACGCCCAGACCAGAAACCTCCCCGAAGCCGTTAAACCCTAAACCCTATGAACCCTAAGCCCTATGAACCCTAAACCCCTATGAACCCTAAACCCTAACCCCTAGCCCTAAACCCTAAACCTTATAGCTTCTTCTCCCAGGCCGTAGGGTTTAGGGAAGCATTGTTTGGGGTACTTCGAACCCGTGAACCTTCGAGTGGGGGGCTCAGGACAAGAAGCGCTTCGACCACCACCAAAGGACGTTTACGGAGACCTACTCCGAGGACTCCTGCACCCTAAACCCTAAAGCTTATAAACCCTAAAGCTTATAAACCCTAAACCCTAAACCCTAAACCCTAAACCCTAAACCCTAAACCCTAAACCCTAAACCCTAAACCCTAAACCCTAAACCCTAAACCCTAAACCCTAAACCCTAAACCCTAAACCCGAAACCCGAAACCCTAAAACCTAAACCGTGCAAGCTGTGCCAGACTCCTACAATCCTCAGCCCTGACAGGCAAGTAACATCCGCGGCCCTCAGCCCTACTTGAAGGTTCATGTGTAGCGATAGCGGCTTTCAGTAGTCCAGTACCCCCTCCACGCTGCCCCTCCCCGCCCCCCACGAAAAACAGCTAAAACAAGTACGCCCAGTGCGTGCCACAGCCTCCCTAGTTATGATGCAGGTAGAACTTTCCATGAACCTCCACGTGGACCTTAATTCGCCCTGAAAGCTGAGATCTGTATGCCAACAAGCTACCGTGTGCAGAGCTTCGTCCCTGACGTTCATCGAGCTCTTAAGGTTCTAGTGGTGCCTGTGCTTCGTCTTTAGGGTTTAGGGCTTACCGACAAGCCTAAGCCCTGGACTTGAACAGCAATCCGGGTCATGACACGGAGGCTAAGAACTCCTAGCTCCTAGACTACTTGACCACTGACCAGCTGCAGACCAATGGAGCCATCCTGTTCATAGGGTTACTTGGGGCCCTTTGCCGAAGCCTGATGTTCAGGCCTACACGGGCATCAAGCTCTCCAGCGCGGGCCTAGCGCCTCGACCCTAAACCCTAAACCCTAAACCCTAAACCCTAAACCCTAAACCCTAAACCCTAAACCCTAAACCCTAAACCCTAAACCCTAAACCCTAAACCCTAAACCCTAAACCCTAAACCCTAAACCCTGAACGCAGACCCGAAGTATGAATGGGCTGGAGTGGGATAGCTGAGCGACTTCAAGCCCAAACCCTAAACCCTAAACCCCGAGCCCTAAACCTGAAAGCCCAAACCCTTAAACATCAAACCCAGTCGCTTTATGGAAGCCAGGCTTTGGAGTGATACTTTCTACCCAACTAGGACAACCCTAAACCCTAAACCCGAAGCCCGAAACCGAAACCCTAAAACCCTATCCCTGCACCCTAAACCCTATCCCTAAACCCTAAACCCTAAGCCCTAAACCCTAAACCCTGAATCCTTCAGGTCTTCAAGCACTTCGGTGACCGGGTCGTGGAATCCTTGTGCCTTCGCACTCCACGGAGGGCTTTTCCTGGATCGAGGGGTCCTCCGCGCTCGGCTCCTCCAGTATTCCCTAAACCCTAAACCCTAAACCCTAAACCCCAAACCCCAAACCCCAAACCCCAAACCCCAAACCCTGAACCCGAGCCCTTATTCTTTGCGGATAGCAAGGCTTCGAGTTCAGAGGCTCCTTCAAGCTTACTTCGCAAAGCCCATTCTGGAGACCCAACGCTCCAAGCTTCACGACCAGTCGCTTAAGATCACCCTCCCCCATGGGTTTAGGGCTTAGGGTTTTAGGGTTTAGGGTTAAGGGTTTAGGGTTAAGGGTTTAGGGTTCAGGGTTGAAGGGTTTAGGGTTTAGGGTTGAAGGGTTTCAAGAAAGACAAAAATGCAACTTCCTTATCAGGGCAATGGAGGGACGAGCAGAATTTCTTGGGTGGTCCTTAAGCCAAGAGTCGTATTCGGTGCGTTCGACCCCCTGGACCCCCAAGCTTCTCACGCGTCGCCGGCCTCATCGAGTCGCAACAGCCCCTGAACCCTGAACCCTAACCCCTGAACCCTAAACCCTAAACCCTAAACCCTAAACCCTAAACCCTAAACCCTAAACCCTAAACCCTAAACCCTAAACCCTAAACCCTAAACCCTAAAGCTGCGTCTCGTATTATAAGTTTGCGGTGGACTTACGTCTCATTTTTGTCTAAACAAACTCAAGTGGAATAGATTATTTGCTTTTGAAAGAATAGCTTTATAAAGGTTCCAAGGGAAGTATCGTGTTGAGGGGTTTGGGGGGACGGGTGCTCGCCGCAGCGTGCGGCTTCCGGCTAGCGAGTGCACAGGGTGTTTTTTGCCCGAGGCAGAACCCCAACAAGCAAAGAAAGGGTTTCCCCTTTTTGAGCCTAAGCTAGTATATTGAAGCAGGGTACATATTCTATTTTTGGTGAGTGTATATAAGGTTCCTTTTTTAATGTTGGTGAGTGTATACACCGGGTGTCCTTTTGGGGATACAAGAAATACACTTCACATAGCTGTTTACAGAGAGATCTCGGATGAGGGTTGCTTGGCCCTTTCTTGATCAGAACAGCCTCAAGGAGTGGAGATGGAGGTCTCGCCCTGGAGCCCTGAATCTTCCACTGCCCCCGGAACCCGAAAACCCTAACCCTCAACCCAAAACCCTCAACCCTCAACCCTAAACCCTAAACCCCCCAATCCTAAAACCCTAAAACCCCCGGAACAAATCTCGCAAGACTGCGGAGGTGCGGGGAGCTTGAGGCGAAGCCGAAGGCGTTCGGCTGAAGTTTAGGGTTTAGTTTGTAGGGTTTCGGGGTTTAGGGTTTAGGGTTCAGGGTTTAGGGTTTGGGTGAAACCTCAATTCAATTCGTGTCGCAATGAAGCTCAGAAATGCAGAATACATTCAGTGCAATATGCGTGCTTACACCCTTTGAGTCGTTCTGACCCTAAGCCCATTAAACTCTGAGTACTAAGACCAGAAACCCTGAGCACTTTAAGTCCTATAAACTCTAAAAACCAGTGAACTCCCATGCAGTTGCCGAAGCCCTAGACCCTAGACCCTAGACCCTAAACCCTAAACCCTAAACCCTAATCCCTAAACCCTAAAACCCTAAACCCAATATGGAGTTACAGGTCATGCCTGGAGTCCCTGATTCCCAACCCTGGGCTCGAACGAATCCCTCTCCCCCCACTACTGGGGTAGCTCAACCCTCAACCCTCAACCCTCAACCCTCAACCCTCAACCCTCAACCCTCAACCCTCAACCCTCAACCCTCAACCCTCAACCCTCAACCCTCAACCCTCAACCCTAAATCCTAAACCCTAAAACCTTAACCCCTAAACCCTAAACCCTAAACCCTCAACCCTAAACCCTCTCCCCCCCCCCCCCTTCCTCCGTGTTGCATGAAGGCTGCCATCATCGCCAAGACCTACGACACGCTGCGCCCCGGGCTGTCGCAGACTTTGAGGTTGTTTTCAGAATTTCGGATCTCCAGCTTGAAAGCTTTCTTCAATAAGGGAATCCAGCAATGCCCCGGTTTAGGGTTTAGGGTTTAGGGTTTAGGGTTTAGGGGTTTAGGGTTTAGGGTTTAGGGTTTAGGGTTTAGGGTTTAGGGTTTAGGGTTTAGGGATTGAGCCTTCAGAGCTTCAAGGGCTTCGAGGCCCCGAGATG